ACTCTTGTGGCAACGATTTGCTTGCAAAAGCATTTTCTTTATTCGGGAAATATTTTGTCGAATTTTTGTGTTAATGTGGATGTCAGGAACTGTGTGTTAAACCTTTTGTTTTCACAAAATTATGATCATCTTGCACATTGTCAGTTGTTTCAGTGTGGCTAAAAACTAACAAGAAATTTTTAAAAAGGCTTTGAACGTGAACATTTTAGGCCTGATTTGTCCAATTTTAAAAACTGAAGCACTCTTTATTCAAATTTAAATCCGTCACAAAAGAATACACATCATTTTTGTTTACCTAATGTATTTAGTTTACCTGCAGGGTGAAAGGGGTGCTTCCTGTTTTTACCTATGATTACAGCAAGTGATCGCATTTTACTAAGAAAAGTTAAGCATGCAATTCTGAAAAAAATACTTAATGAGCAGGCCATGGATATGAGTCAACTAAAAAACTAGCAACTAAAAAGGGTTACAAACGAAACAAAAACAAAGAAATAAAGAGAGAGGGAGACAGAAAGAGTAAAATTTTCATTGATTTTAAGCCACTAAAAACCCATGAATCACTGGATATTATGGGTTAAGCTTTTGGTGTGAGGCTCGCAAAACCTGGCTAAACACTGCTACTGATTTGTTTCATACTGAGCTCACTTGTGTGGTGACCAATCCACACACTGAGTTTCAGAACTCAAAAGAAAAACCTCAAAACCACACACTAATTACCAGTTTGCTGTAGGTTGTTTGATTTTTTGACAGCTGATTGGCTTTCACCCTTAAACTCTCAAGACTGAATGAGTAATTCTCCCTTGTGATGCCCTCACATTTCCTTGTTAATTATACATGAGAATGTGGTCTTATATCAAGATAACATCTAGCTTCTCACTGATAAGCTTATTGTAATTGTTCTCATATTTGTTTGCATTAACTAACATATTGAAATTGCAAGGAGAGGTTCTGTGTTGTATTCTTCTGTCACTGAAGGGTAGAATTGTTTGGATTTCACCGTAGCTTTCACAAATTAAGTTCAAATGTTCCCAGTTTCCCTGAATTTTTCTTGAATGAATGAAACTATTTGTTTTCTTTTGCGTTTCAGATGCCATGCCCTTTACTTCATCCACACTGTTTCGGGCCCTCATCTTTGTCATCTTAACACTC